TGGGTAGCTGAGATGGAGTGCATAGGTAAGGCTCTCAACTTCCATCACTACATTTCCCTCCAGGATAATTCCCACTGAGGATACATTATGGTGAATGGCCTGCTTGTGTGGACTTATATTTTCTTGTTCATTGCGGAGGACCCCCACAGGAACATTGTTCTGCAAACTTTCTTCATCATTGTCCTGAAAGAAATAACAGTACATGACTTTGTTAACATCTTGCAGTCAACAGCCTTTACAGTTATGCAGCCCACATGTCTGACCTGTCAAGTGTTCACCCCCTGCCTAGTTCAGAAATTAGTGCAAAAGGAGTTAAAAAATTATAAGAGGCACATGATACAGTTTTGGATGGTGCCTTTTTATGTATGCATACAAATCACATCAACATAAATTAAAAAGAACCAGTGAAACAATCATTTCCTTGAACAATATACCTAAGAGAGGGAAAGCTGGAGATGCAGAGAGGACAGGTTATGGTATTATTCTGGCCTGTTGTGTTTGCCTTTGTTAACATTCCACTCTGTTCCCTGCACCAATTGATAATTTTCCCCACCAGGGACGACCCTGATCATTCCCAATCAGTTCTCATACCCACCTAGAAGCTCAATGGCAGACTAAAGCTGGCTTCACACATACCACTTTACGTGTCACTTTGTCATCCATCGCAGAAACTTGCCATGCAGTAGTTCCCACTTGATGTGTGCAGGATGTCCTGCACATTGGCTCTTAGTTTTCAATTTAATGTAACCACTTTTCTCTTGAATCCCTGTTTAGCTAATTTGGTAGTTAGAAACTAAAAAATTTTGCTCCACCATCCATCGTGAACAGACTCAATACCAGTATCTGATGGAGGAGCTGGCCGTCATGCTGCAGTGCAACAGTGTCGGTAGGAATTACCACAATAACCAGAAAGGCTTCCATTTGTGATGGAATGGAGGGTACACGGATGAAGTAGTCTGTGTAAATGAGGGATAACAGCGCGATAATTTTGAAAGCATTTTTGTGAGTAGATAACCAGGTCAGGTTAAACCCAGGACAAAACAAATTTTAGGATTCACATTCCCTTCTTGACTGGGGCCCTTTTTCTGAATTACATTCAGTGCAGCCACTAACCTCCCTCCCCAGAGATCCTTGTCCCTGATGCTTGGGTGTGATGCTGTCTTGTTGATATATGTGCAATAAATCCTGAAAATTTTCTGTGTCTTGCTGGAATTTCAGGTACTCTGAGCCTCTGAGTATTACAGGTTAAAAATGGGGTATTTAGAAAAAGTCGGGGGTGCGAGGGGAAAAGAGTGGTAGTAAATGGGATAAGCTAGAGAAAGAGGAAAGAATGAAGCAAAACATATCAAAGATTCTTACTGAGCAGGTCTTGAAGAAGGTTAAAGGATCATCACCGAGAATGATAGGAAGCCCCCTGAGGACAAGGCATCAGACTTCTGTGACATTCAAAGTCTGTTAGATTGAGGGAGCAGGGAAGACATCACAAAATTAAAACAATGGTTTAGATGCTTCCCTGAAACCATCTCCTGTCTCTAGCACTACTTTATTAAGGTCATGGGGATTGTAAGACAAAAACATTTAGCTGTAAATTAACAAACCTTTGTTTGTTGCATCAGGTCAGCCAACGCCTGTCCTGTGAGACCCCTCTTTGACTTAAAGATTTCCATGAGCCTGGGACTATGATGATCAAGGGCCTCATAGAATTCCTGTCTCAGGCTCTAACCAACCACTCTGCTGAACTCCAGACATACCTGAAACAGAAAAAAAAGTATCACAAGTACAAGTATCATAATGTGATATTTTTATAAAATACCCAATTTTAGAATTTAATTAATGTTTGCAAAAATTTCCATGCAGAGACTGTTGATCATTGCTTAAACCACAAACATGAACATGTCACTGTAGTTAATCCATATATATGAAATCAATTCCAAATTTTTGATACTTTTTTGTTAAAACAGAGTAGACATAAATGAAAACTATGCAATTTAATAGTCACAAATTATTTTTAAATATCATCAGAGGGGCCCTGTAGAGACAGTATGTGAGACAAATCTATAGACCTACCTGTTGTTCAGTAAACAGAGCAGGCCAGCGTTGACGTATCTCAGCGATGGCAGGTTTGTCCATCACAACTTCACTCCTTCGAAGAGCAAACGTCAGATCCATCTTCTGCTTGATGAGGGCTCCATTAGGGGTTTTCTTTTTCATTTCATTCTCCATTATTTGTCGAGCATCTTCAAGGCTGGAGTCATCCTGTCCATCTGGATAATCTGGTAAGTAATTGATTTCTCCTCTCTTTGGCTTCTTAATTCTCTTGTTAGGTGGGTCACCGCCAGGAGAGTGCTTACCATGTTTACCACCATTCACTGTGACATCACAGTGACCCAGCCTTCGCATTTTTGTTCTGTAATTTCCCATCTTGAATTTCAAGCTGTTTTTCCAGCCACTCCACCCAGATGCAGATCCTTGTTCTTTGAGGCATGGGTGTACTCGCACCAGTGCCGTGGCAACAGCTTCGAATTCTGAATTTGTTGGGTATGCTTTTAAGGCATAAATGGTCTCAGCAAGCCTCTCGAGAATGTCATGTTTGAGCTCCTTTGAAGGAATGAGGTGTGTTCCATCCCTGAAATGAAGGAGATTTGCTTGACGCAGTCTGTATTCCACATCAACAGAAAATTTTGGTATATACATATCAAATTCCTCTGGCCACTGCTGGCGTCTTTCCTGAGAGGAGTTGGAGAGGATATCTGTGTCTGCCTGGCTGGGTGTGTCACTTAGTTCTTCAGTTGATGCTGACTGTGGGACATGCACCTCCTCAAGAGAAAGCATTGGAATAATTTTTAGTGTAGGTCGCTCTGGCAGTTCTGATATTTCTGTTAGATTGCAAAGTTCGTTGTCAAAGTTGGGATCTTTAAACTGTAAGGTGAAGTTGTAGTTTACTTGAAGAGCATCTTTAAGGGAATCAATCAAAAGGTCAACAGTATCAGGCTTTGTCTTCAGTTCCACTTTTCGTATGTCGGCTTCAGTGATGATCACTCTTACGAGCATTTTCTGTTGCACTGCCATCTGGTGATAAAGAGAGATTTTGTTCAGCACAGAATAAAACGTTTAAGAGTTACCATTAGTTTCCCACCTAGTCTGTACGCTGACAGGGGAAAAACATCGTTGAGCTCTGACAATGGAACCACACACAGGGGCGTGGTTATATCACAGTAGCACACCTCATATGATCTAAGGTGCTCATGGTACCATGCACTCATTACTCTGCAGACAAACAATATTTCTGTATGAACTGCAACTATCTTTGTGATCTGCTTAAATTCAGGGAGACCTGAGCAAGTTCCAGCAGAAACTACCATATCTGGCTTGTATGTAACTCCATCCACACAAATGGATGACGCTACAAAAACTGTTGCTGACTCATGGATTTTCTGACTTAGTATCCTTTTGACATTCTCAGGGAAATATGAGACAGAGACAGTAGAGACCTTTTCCATTTCAACTGAAGGTTTGAAAAATGAACTTAAGTCCAAGTGATAGCTGACTGCTTTCTGATGTTTTACAGCAAGTGTAAGGGCTACATTCTTGTAGTTCTGAGCATCACGGAAAACTTTTTTGAAAAATTTGTGCTTTCCCTCAAAGCGCATAGTCCACACATCAGACAGTGGACCAAATGCCTTAATAAGTGAAGGATAGTGTTCAATGTAGTGGTGTTTTGGTCGTAATCTAAACTCTGGGAAAGTAGACTGCAGTAGTTCTCTGTGTTCTGCTAACTTGCACTCCAGGAAGTAGACCGTCTCTTCAGTGAACTTGGGAGCAACTACTAACTCTACAATATCTTTGACAAGCATTAGAACTTCCCATGCTTTTTCCCCTGGAGGAATACACTCACCAAGAAAAAATGGTAAAAGTCTTATTAGGCACCAGTTCTCATGTGCATTTCCTCCGATTGTGTGTTTTGTCGCAAAGCCCTTTGTAATAGGCTGTGGCCTATCAGTTTTGTCAGTAAATGTGTATGGAAAAGACCTGATAGCCTGATTCAGTGTTTCTAAACTAAAATATCCCTTGGAAATCAGATCTGAAAGACACAAAGACAACTCCATAGGGACTATGCCCTCCAGAAGATCATGCATGAGGTCAGGAGGGTAACCTTTAACAACATGAAAGTGCTCCAATTTTGCAGTAAATGGGCACTCTTTTTTCACACCATATGTTCTACCGAGTTCTGGGTCTTTCAAAACTTCCTGCACTTGTCTGTCATGATTGTCTTTATTTCTGAGCTCAAAGGCACCAGGGCACACCATTTGTTCTTGAGTTTCACTTCTACTTGCCATGCAGAATCAGCAGAACTTGTCAACAGAGAAGCTCTCATAGAATCCTGCCACAGCATGAGCACTCAGGTTGTCGGCAGCTACATACAAAACAGTTCCTTTCACACTTGCACCCAATGCCTCGATATAAACACCATCCTTTTCTAATGACATAAGATCATGTATGAGGGGGTCAAGCACTTTAGCATAACCACATTCTTTTACAGTAGTTGTGTTGCATATGAGAGCAAGTTGAATAGAGTTGAGTGATGCTCTATATTTTGCTGGGATATTGGCAATTACCCAGTAGACAGCACACATCTTATGCTTCTTCTTTGATGTTCCTAATGGATTGGCAACTTCAAAGTCATCAATATACAGACCAATGGCTATTGTGAACTCATCAATAGTAAGAAGGCAATTTTCTCTGAAGTATGCACCATCTACATAGGACTTGTATTCATTTGCAACATGTATTTCTTCAGACATTGCTTTATCTAACACATCTGGCCTGCTCAGCAACTTCTGCAGCATTTGCTGTATAGGAACATATACAACCGATTTGTTATCTTTATCAATTATATACTCTACAGGCATTACCAGTGGAAATTCTTTAGACACATATGATGCTCTTTTTTTAGTGGTTGCCAAAGAACCTTCTTTGCTGCAAAATATTGTCATAATGTTGGTTTCAGAAACAGCAGTGATCACCTGTTTCACAACTGACTCATCCATCTCTGAATCATACTTCATGAGAATCATCTTCACCTTATGATGCAAAAGTGGCTCTGACAAATAGTGTATATCACAAAGCTGTTTGATTATCTCTTGTACAGAGCGCTCAGGTACATGGAGGATAGTTTGCATCTTCAAAAAAAGTGCAGCTAGGTTGTGCTCTAGCTGATTTTTTAAATCCTGAAAATCTATCTCACACGTTTCTTCACTTGCAACATCTACTTCCCCCATGTCTTCAGTTTGCATTTGCTCATTTGCGAGGTTGCACTCTCTGTTTTCATCAGTTATCTCAACATCAACTATTTCTTTCTTAAACATCTTCCAGTTGTCTTCTCTATGTGTTTTACTTTTATGTGCATTAAAAGTTGAATACACACTGCTCTCAAATAAACAGCCTGCATATGGACACTGAACCTTTTGGTTAACTTTCAAATGTCTGCATCGGAGGTGGCTGAAAAATTCTGATTCAGAACAACACTCAATGAACTCACACAACTGACAACAGAATTTTACAGCTTCATTTTGTTCTCGTTGTCCCTCATTAGTATTAGAGTGAACACGTGATATGTGTGCTTTAAGGCTGTTTATGGACTTGAATGTGCATAGACAGTCATGGTGCAAACAAGGGAATGGTACTGTCCTTGTGTAGCTTCCATGTTTTAGCCGATAGTGTTTAAGTAGCTGCGCTCTTTTCCCAGTAATAAAACCACAATATTTACACTTCCACTCCATCGTTGTATGGTTAAACTTCTGTGGAGTAAGGAAAATTACAGTTAATAGTGTAAAGCAGCGGTCCCCAACCATCGGGCCGCGGACCAGTACCGGTCCGTGGGTCATTTGGTACCGGGCCGCACAGAAAAAAAAAAAATATAAATAATATATATATATATATATATATA